CCGATGGTTCTGGTTTGCAAACGAGTTATCTCAGACCCGTTTCTCTCCTTCAAATCAGTAAATTAAAACACACGCACACGTGGTTTCAAAGAGGAACCAGACCTTCTGCGTTTAGAATCTGATAAGAGCTCATTTAACCCTTCCTTTTACAGTAGGTTTTTAAGTCTGCGCCCTCTCCTCCTGGACACAGATCTCTCACCCCTCAGTGACATTAGCCGCAGCTGATCCTCCCTCACTCTTTAAAGCAAACACTCCAGGCCCGGTCCCTGGAAGCCTGATAGTCTAATTGAGAATCCTTGAGAAAGGAGTGAATTTTCGTAATTAACTAAGACAGGAGCGAGGGAACGCCTTCTTTTTTTCTCTTTCCCATGTCTTGCGGTAGTTGCAAGGCGAAACGAGAGCTACAAGCTGTCAGGTCGCTCCTCCGCCCCCTCCTGGAGGGAACGCTTCCAGCCCCTGTGATACCGGCGGTCTTTAGGACCCAGCGGCGGGCTTCCCGGAAGAGGAAGGGGCGGATCGCGAGGTGCGCGCCGTAGCGTAAAAGGTTTGAACCGCGCGCAGGCGCTGGCGGCGGCTCGCTTTGGGTATTTCAGGTACGTGTGCGCGGGCTCAGCAGTCTCCCACGGGTCCGGGATGCCGGAAGGCCGGTAATCCTGCTCCTTCGGACCTAGCCGTGGTGCTCGGGACGCTTGGGTCTGGCAGGTTCTCGGGTTTCCGGGTACTCTGTCGCAGGGTTGGAGTCGTTTCCCGGTGAAGCGCTTAAAATTCAGGGTCTTGTCCGTTTCCTGGACTTGGGCTTCCTCCAGTAATAACACCTCTTGGGGAGCACGCAGTAGGCCCTATAGAGACCTGACTCCTACCCTGGGTCGGAGTGAGAAGTCCCCTTGCCCGGCTTCTTCGGCATCCCCACTTAATGTGTGTGGTGTCGGACAGGTAGTAATACTAGTTAGTGCAAGTTGAACGCTTACCACGTTCTTCATTTACCCATCCAAAAATGGGGACAGTCATGTACTTAGTTGTTGTTAGTTGCCGTCGAGTCGGCTCGGACTCAGCGACCCTCTGTACAACCAAAGGAGGCACTGCCCCGTCCTGCGCTAGCCTCACAGTTACTGCTGTACGTGAGCCCATCGTTGCAGCCACCGTGTCACCCCATCTCGTTGAGGGTCTTTCCCTTTTTCTCTGACTCTCCACGTTACCAAGCATGATATCCCTCTCCAGGAAATAGTCCCTTCTGACATCATGTCCAAAGTGGGTGAGACGAAGTCTGGCCATTCTCACCTCTTAGCATTCTGGCTGCACTTCTTCCAGGACAGGGTTGTTCGTTCTCCTGGCAGTCCATGGTATTTTCAGTATTCTTCGCCAATACAACAACTCGAAAATACCAGCTCGTCTTCGGTCTGTCTTGTTCACTGTCCAGCTTTGGGTGAAACGCATCTTAGTCTTCAAAGTGATGTTTTCGCTCTTCGGCATTTTAAAGAAGTCTTGTGAGCAGGTTTTGCCCAGTGCAGTACCTCATTTGATCTGACTGCTACGTCCATGGGCGTTGATTGTAAGTCCAAGTAAAATGAAGTCCCTGACTTTCAGCTTTTCTCCATTTAACGTGATGTTGCTGATTGGTCCAATTGTGAGGATTTTTGTATTATGTTGAGGTGTAATCCATACTGAAGGCTGTGGTCCCTGATCTTCATCAATAAGTGCTTCAAGTCATCTTCAC